TCACAAACTGCGAGATCATGACCTGAGTCGAAGTCGGATGCTCAACCGACTGAGCCACCCAGGCGCCCCCCACTCATCTCTTACTTAGTATTAGGCCTGCATTAAAAAAACAAAAAAACAAAAAAAACGTAAAAGTGCCCAGTAAATGTTGGTTACCTAGTACCATAATAATACTTCACCCTGTCTGATCCCAGGTTTCACTTCCTTATTTGCCCACTATGGAAGTTAATATTTCAGACATCTGACCTTGCCTGGCTCCTACCTGCTGATCACCTTACCTCGCGAACGGGGGCTGTTGGAGAACGTGGGGTTGAAACATGCATGCTGGGTGGGAGCCTTGTCCCTTTGGTTCTCACAAAGCCTCTCGCTTTAAACCGCACCTGTGTGACTTCCCTCCCAGCGTTATTGTGTGCGAGGGATAAGTGCCACACAAGTGGCGAATGTCAGGTGGTGTCACTGTCGTGGGTGTTAATAAAACAAGTGGTCACAAGGGGAAACAAAATGCAGAATGATATATGCATTCCTTCAACTGACAGGCTCAGGAACAAAAATAGTTTAGTACGTTTACTTACGTTACTCGTTCATGCTTGTTCCAACTTTTGTTTTGAAAATCTTTATTTTTAGGGCGCCTGGGTGGCTCCGTCGGTTAAGCATCTGATTTCAACTCAGGTCACGATCTCGCAGTCCCTGAGTTCGAGCCCCGCGTCGGGCTCTGCGCTGACAGCTCAGAGCCTGGAGCCTGCTTCGGATTCTGTGTCTCCCTCTCTCTCTGCCCCTCCCCCGTTCATGCTCTGTCTCTCTCTGTCTCAAAAATAAACGTTAAAAGAGAAAATCTTTATTTTTTATATAATTTTTAAAAAATTTATATTTTGAAAAAAAACTATATTTTGGTCTTTTTTTTATTGAAGAAAAGTTGACACACAATGTTTATTTCCCTGAAGCATTAGTTCCAGGTGTACCGCATGGTGATTTGACACGTCTACACCTTATGCTGTGCTCGCCTAGCTACCGCCGGTCACCACACAACACTACTAGCTACCGTTGCTTCTATTCCCTGAACTACACCTTTCAACCCCGTGACCTACTCCTTTCAAAACGGGAAGCCTGTATCTCCCACTCTCCTTCACCCATTTTGCCTGTCTCCCACCTTCTCCCCTTTAGCAGCCACCTGTTTGTTCTCTGTATTTATGGGTCTGTTTCTGCTTTTGTTTGTTTAGTTCATTTTGATTTTTAGATTCCACGTATAATTGAAATCATATGGTATTTGTTTTTGTCTGACTTATTTCGTTTAACATCATACTCTTTAGGTTGAACCATGTTGTTGCAAATGGCAAGATGTCATTCTTTTTTATACCTGAGTAATATACCGTTTGTGTGTGTGTGTGTGTATACACACAGACCATATCTTCTTCATACATTCATCTATCAATGACGTTTGGATTGCTTCCATAATTTGGCTATTGTAAATCATGCTACAATAAACCTAGGGATGCATAAATCTTCTCAAGTTAGTGTTTCTGGGTTTTTTCTTTGGGGGGGGTAAATACTAGATCATATGGTATTTCTATTTTTTAATTTTTCGAGGAACCTCCATACTGTTCTCCATGGTGGTTGCACTAGTTTGCACCCACTGTGCGAGAGGATTCCTTTTTTTCTCACATGTTTGCCAACACTTGTTGTTTCTTCTCTTTTTGATTCTAGCCATCTGGCAGGTGTGAGGTGATATCTCCTTGTGGTTTTTGATTTGCATTTCCCTGATGATGAGAGATGTTGAGCATCTTTTCATGCATCTGTTGGCCATCTGTATGTCTTCTTTGGAGAAATGTCTATTCGGGTCCTCTTCTGTTTTTAAATTGGATTATCATTATTGTTTTTTGATGTTGAGTTGTGTAAGTTATTTATATGTTTGGATATTAATCCTTTATCAGATATATCATTTGGAAATATCTTCTCCCATTCAGTAGGTTGCCTTTTCACTTTGTTGATCAATGCCTTTGCTACATAAAAGCTTTTTATTTGGGTGCAGTCTCATTAGATTATTTTTGCTTTTGTTTCCCTTGCCTTAGGAGACATATCTAAAAAAATGTTGCCATGGCCAGTATCAGAGAAATTACTGCCTATGTTTTCTTCTAGGAGTTTTATCATTTCAGGTCTCACGTTTAGGTCTTTAATCCATTTTGAGTTTATTTTTGTGTATGTATGTTAGAAGGTGGTCCAATTTCATTTTTTTGCATGTAACCATCCAGTTTTCCCAGCACCATTTATTGAAAATACTGCTTTTACCTCACTGTATATTCTTTCCTCTTTTGTTGTAGATTAATTGACCTTATAAGTGTGGGTGTATATCTAGGCCCCTTATCCTTTCCTTTGGATTTATGTGTCTATTTTTGTACTAGTACCATACTGTTTTTATTATTATAGTTTAGTAGTATACCTTGATATTTGGGATTGTGAAAGCTCCAACTTTGTTCTTTCTCAAGATTGTTTATTTGGGGTCTTTTTTGATTCTATACAAAATTTAGGATTATTTGTTCTACTTCTGTGAAAAATGCTATTGGTATTTTGATAGAAATTTCATTGTATCTATATTGCTTTGGGTACTGTGGACATTTTAACAATATTAATTCTATCCATGAGCATGGTATATTTTTCCATTTGCTTATGTTTTCAATTTCTTTTTTTTTTTTTTAATTTTTTAATGTTTATTTTTGAGAGAAAAGAGAGCACAAGCAGGGGAGGGGCAGAGAGAGACAGAAACACAGAATCTCTGAGCTGTCAGCACAGAGCCCAATGTGGAGCTTAACTCATGAGCTGTGAGATCATAACCTGAGCAGAAGTCAGATGCCCAACCGACTGAGCCACCCAGGTGCCCCGTCTTCAATTTCTTTCATCAGTGTTTTATAGATTTTGGAGTATAGGTCTTTCACCTCCTTGGCTAAGTTTATTCCTAGGTATTTGATTCTTTTTGGTGCAGTTATAAATGGGATTGTTTTCTTCATTTCTCTTTCTGATACTTTTTAATTAGTATATAGAAATGAAACTGAGTTTTGTGTATTAGTTTGTATCCTGCAACTTTACTGAATTCGTTTAATACATCTAAAATTTTTTGGTGGAGTCTTTAGGGTTGCCTGTGTATTGTATAATGTCATCTATAAATAGCAACAATTGTACTTTTTCCTTACTACTTAGGATGACTTTTATTTCTTTTTCTTGTCTGATTGCTGTGTCACAGACTTCAGTACTATGTTGAATGAAAGTAATGAGAGAGGACTTCTTTGTCTTGTTTCTGATCTTAGATAAAAAGCTCTCAGTTTTTCACCATTGAGTATGATGTTAGCTGTGGATTTGTCCTATATGGCCTTTATTATGTTGAGGTATGTTTCCTCTAAACCCATTTTGTTGAGAGTTTTTATCATGAATGGATGTTCATTTTGTCAAATGCTT